TGAGCACTGACCCCACATAGCCTGGCTGGAGCATGGCAGGAACAGATCTGGAGCTCCACCCCACCAGCAAGTCAGCTGGAGACAGCAGCAGATGGGGAAGGGGGTAAGTAGGAGGGGGTGATGATGAGCACAGAAAGGGTGGGGGGAGTGCCAAGAGTGGAGGGGAATGCGGGGGGAAGAGGCAGGCAGGATTCTCACCCAATTCAGAGATTGCTGCTGCTTCTACAGCATGGTTTGTGGGTTCAAATGGAGAGGAAGCTGGGAGCATGGGTGCAGCCATCCCCACAGTGCCAGTCACTGCTACCAGGCCCTACCCCGCCCTCCCTTAAAAAAAATCTTGGATGTACCTATAAACATAGTTGGAGTACTTGCTTAAAGACATGCAACTTGATCCAATTATTGTCACAAACATTAATTTTGAGCTCTATAACAGTTTTAGACTTGGGTATTCATTTCCCCCCCTATTCTGCATTTTTGTGAATGCAAGTTACCTGGACCTGCACTGCTTTTTTTTTTTTTTTTTTTTTAAAATGAACTGAAACTCAGTCGTCATAACTGAAGGTGTTCGAGGTGTGATTTTTTTATCCTTATAAACACTGAAGTACTCCATTTAAAAGTTGTCCTGATTTAAGAACCTTATTATCAGAACCCCTTATATGCTTAGGTCATTCTTACACGTTATAGAAATTGTATATGTGAGACTAGACTACTCAGGGTATTCTAAATATTAGAAATCAATACACCATATATGTTGCTTGTGTTTGCATTCCTTCCAATTTAGACAATAAGAAAAAAATACCAGGTTGCATTCACTTCTAGTCTATCTTCCAGTCCATTTTTGCTTTCAAGTGCAAACTCATTAGTATAATATTGTAAGTTTCAAAGAACTAAAAATCTAATGTTTATATCTTAAAAAACAAACCTGTTTTCGCTTACATTTTTTAGGAATGGAAAAAAAAAATACAGTTTACATTTTAATAACATCTTTCAAAGTTATTTGAACCCAAGTCATATATCTTTTAACAATCTTTGTAATGCCAATTTGTACTTGATAAAAGGTATTTGGACTTAATCTATTGTTACTGAACTGTGTTACCTGGCAGCTGTTCTCATAGGAGTGCACAAAATCATACTCCAGTTCAATCAAGCTTGGAGGAATTTCCCAAAATGCCAAGATACAATCCAACATTAAATAAGGAAAAGAATTAGGACCATGGCAAGGTCTTTATAGACCACTATGGTTGGATTAAAAAAGGTCTTGTGTAGCAATAGATATGGGGGGGGAGGAGGGGGAAATTACACACTAGGTTCTCCAATATTGAACAATTATAAAATGTCAGCACCCTATGCCTAACCAACTCTCTGTGGCCAACCAGCAGTTCATAAGCCATTATCTGCTTATGAACTGTTTTAGTTCTAGTAACCAGGATAATCCATCAAAAATAAAATGGGACAAAACATTCCTTTCTGAACTAACTGAACTGCTATCCGCCACAGTCTACTGCACACTGCTCTAGCACTGGACTCCAATGTCAAGACAGTATTAAAATAAATAAATAAATAAAAGATAGTGTAGGTGGAGTTTTTCCATTTCCAAGAATCAGAAAGCATGTCTATGGTTCTGAGCTTTTGCCAGTACATTCCGTTTTCCTTTCTGCTGCCACTTTTGGTTTTTGCAATGCATCATTTCCTGTATTACTTTTGCACAAAGTGGTCTTATCAGTTTAAAGTGCAAAATAAACATTAAGCCACAGGTCAGCAGATGACACAGATTTCTTAGCCTCTCTTCCCCAGATACACATATGCACTTTTGGGAAAAGAGGGTCAGTGCTCCCAATAGCTGAGTGACTACCAACCCTTGAAGATAAATGTGTTACAAAGTATGGTAGAAATAAGAGATCCTCCGTAAGTGAGCCTGACATCAATTTAAAGAAATTCAGTTTCTAGCCATGCTGCAACTATTCTTAATGTCAAATCGTACATACATTTTATTCTAGTGCATTCTTTTGGCACATGAGCAGCAATCAAGAAGCTTGTTTCGAATACTAAAATCTATATTTTTTCTTCCCTGTTGTTGTCCCTGTTTAGTCTTTGGACTTTAACTGAACACCTACAAACAGGTTTTTTTTCCAAGTCTGAAACAACAGTTGTTTAACTTGCTCCAAATTTAAACAAGACTCAACTAGGCAAATTGCCTAACAGTGAAGTTTTCTCTTTCCAGCATCCAATGAAATGGCATGGTTATAACTAAGAATTTGTCAGCAACACTGGGCAGCTAGTTTGATGCTAAATGTTTCAGTGCCTTCAAATTACCACAAACATCCCAAAGAAAACTATCTTAATTTGGATGAGAGGGTGCTAGTCAGTGGGTGGGGAGAGGGTCAGGGCACTGATGAAGCCGGAAAACTAACTCCTAGCCCCAAGTTCAGACAAACAGGAAGTAGCTTCTACTCCTGGCTTTAGTATTTACATTAGCACTCAGTGGTGCAGCCAAAATAAAGAATGCAATTAACAAAAAAAATTAAGTGTGTATTATTCAATAAAAATGCAACAAACTCAGGCAAGAACAGTCAAGGGGGGCAACCAAGGAATTTGCAACTTCTTCACACATGTCTATGCCCTACTTTTTTCTTTCAGTTGTTCATACTCAAGACCACAGTTCTCCTCTCAGTGTCCATTCATGATTGACAATATAAATAGATAACAATTGAAGCAAACTTAAAATCCCTTCCTTAGAAAACATTTAGCAACTTAATTAACTTCTCTGAAAGAAGCTCAAATCTTTGCATCACTTCCTTTTTCCCCTAATGCATTATTTAGA